TGGGGGTATCTCAGGTCGCGGACCCCCGGAAGCAGACCAAAACCCTGATACCTGCTCACACGAAGCAAACCTTGACGACCATATTTTCCCTACTGCCACGTCCCAAGGAATGGCCCCAAGCCTAGAAAGCCTCAGCCTGGACTTAAACTCTGAGTCCGCTACATTTCCTTACTCCCCGGAACAGCATCCACCTGTGCAATCCTGCCTGCCCAAGCCTACCACACTGTTGTTGAGCATACTGCTCCTCCTAGTGCAAGTTCAGGCTGGTCAGGCTACAGGACTTCGTCCGACGGCGGTAGGCCCTGTGACCTCTGAGCAACTGTCCAGAATAGCTAAACGTTCATACAGACGTGCCCTAAACCGAGCTTGCAGACTTGGTAGAGCCTGGTACCGAGGACAGCTTCTAGTGTCCAGACAGCCACCTCAGCCCCGGCCCCCGGAAGCCGCTCCCCAAAAGCCCTCACCGGTCGGCCAGAAAGACCGCATATCTTCTGACATTAGGGTCATCACATGGAACAGTGGAGGTCTCTCTGCCCTGAAGCTAGAATCGCTACTGCAATGGCAAGAAGCCATAGATGACAGGCCATGCGTTATATGCTTGCAAGAGACACACTGGTCGCTGTCCAATGAATTCACTCGACATGGATGGCAATGCGTCTCCAGCAGTGCAGGAGATACCTCCAGCGGCGTCATGACCCTGATTCGGTTTCCAAACCTACCCAAGCCTACCTTGCAATATCAGGAAGTCATCCCAGGCAGAATGCTGCACACACGCCTAGGAACCAACCCGCCCCTAGACATAATGAATGTCTATCAACATGCCTGGACCCCGCAGAAGAAAACTTACCAAAACCAGTCAGGATCCCCAGATTCTGCTGCTGCGAGCCCGCGAAAGTGTTTGGTCCGCCCTCCGCAGCTGGACGTCCTCCATTCCTAGACGCAATGGCCTTGTAGTGCTAGGAGACTTCAACTCTGAGTTAAGCCAAATGCATCCTCATGTAGGACCAGGACTATCCCCACACCGTAGCTCAACCCACAAAGATCAACGAGTCTTTCAGGGCTACGTTCAGAGCCAGGGATTGATAGCTGTACACACATGGAAGAAAGGAGGACGTGCATCAGCCACATATGTCAATCATCGAGACCAGCCGGTCCAAATTGACCATGTGCTAATGCGCCAGCCCTGCGACATCGCATCCCTCCGGGTCCACGTAGACCCTACCGCACCTGTAGTTGCAGAAAGTGGTATGCGGCACTTCCCCATAAGCCTCCAAGTACCTATGCCCAGAATCCCTAGCACGGCCCGCAAATCCCAACCTCTCACCGCCAAAGATGCCTGTCGCAGCCTGCAAGATGCCGACTTTGCGAGCCGTTTTCAAGCTGTGGCTGAGTCCAAGCTTCAGCAGCCCAGCACACAGGCCGAAGAGGTGGACGCCATACTAGTAGAAGCATACAGGACCTGCCAGCGCAAAAGGCAAGGTGCCACCACCCACACAGATCGCCCCAACCTGGCAGACTACTGGGCCAGTAAGCATGCACTACGTGCTAGTCTCTCCGGCCTGTGTGACAGGATGTACAATGTCAGCTGGACCAGCCAACTGCAGGCAGCACTCCAGCTCCGCTCCGCCAGACGGAACCTTTCAGAGCTCCTCCGTGTTTGGCAAGCAGAGACGAAGCATCAAAGATACAAGCGGAGTCTCAACAAGCAAATTAGACAGAACCGAAAGGCTAAAGCCGAGGAGCTCATTGCCACTGCTCTGGCAGCAGATGCGAAGGGCCTTTCCCATGTGTACAAGGTCATGCATCAACTCCAGCCGAAAACTCCCAAACGATCAATACACCTAAAACACCCCAAGCTCGGCCTCCTAACTCCTGAACAGTCCCTACAAGAAATTACAAACTACTTTCAGTTGCTATACCGCACACCCAATACCATCACCACTCGCATGTACAGGCTACAACAACCTTTGAATATCGATCGAGATGAGATCTCATCAGCACTAGGGTCACTCTCTAGGCGCAAGGCTCTGCCTCCCGACCAAGCACCGGCAGTGCTATGGTCCAGCTGCCATCAAAGCATAGTCTCCATTCTGAATAGGGATTTTAATGCTCGATTTCAAATTGGCAGACTCTACATGCCGGCAGCCT